TAGACAGATTATATTTTATATATGTATGTATATATGGCATATTTGAAATTTCTTTATGTTTATCAATCAATCAATCAATTTTAATATTAAATATTAAACATGTCTTAATTGTAAATACATATATCATCAGATGTGATTTATTTAGTATTAATTAACTTGTATTCAAATTTGATCTCAAAAATTCAAATTTACCTCAAAAGTAAGACTTAAAAAACGGTTTGGCAAAGCAATAGGAAATAAAACAGGAAAATTTAATAAGCTACAGTAGCTGGTTTTTGTACTTGCTAAGCTTGGGGTTAAGTGTTTTGTATTCGCACTTGGGAAAGGTGTGTGGAAACGAAACGTTGTTTAGGACTTGGTTTGTATATTTGCTAAGCATATTGCATTCACCGTTCCCACTTTCACTTGCACAAGGTGTGTGTCTTCGCTTTAGCCAGAGCGCTCGCATGCTTAGCTCAGATCGTCACCATTTGCAGCCAAGACATGAACACTTCTAATTGATATTTGAATTCCAATTTGAATATTTTAGCTCCTTAAAAAATGAAAGAGAATATTAATTTTAGCTCTATTTCTGGCGTAGTGCAGTTTGTATAATTTAATATGCCAGTTATTTTATTACAGTTTGCACTTCTCTCTTCTCACTCACTTCTAAGAGACTTCTGGAAAGACAAGATGGCAGCAGAGACGAACAACTAGAAAGCAGAAGACAAAAATCGACAACGGCAGAAATCTAAAAATAGATTTTGCCAAGTTGGCGCAGCTGTGTCTGCAGCTGCAGCTGCCAATATGTACATATGTATGTACGTAGTTACACGTGTACACATATATGTATGTATGCATATGTTGAAATTTGCTGAAAGTTTGCAATGGTGAAGACAAGAATTTCTAGAATGTTTTCATTTCTTTATTAGTTACATATGTTCGTTGTGCTGATGTGTATGTGTATGTGCGCTGATTTTTTGCGTATGTGAGTTAGATTTTGGTGTTTTATGTGCTGATTTTTTGCGTGTGAGCGCGTGTGTGACTTAGACTTGAAAGTTTTTCTTTTTTCTGTATGTGTGCTGATTCTTGTGTGTGTGTATGTTAATTTTTTGTCTTCTGATTTTCTGTTTGTTTAGCTGCTTGTCTAAGCCACACGCGTGTCACACGCAAGTGTTATACAATGATTTTGTTGTCTGGCTTGTCTGAAATGAAATACATTATAAACTCGAGTGTTCATAGTTGCTTGATGGGGTGTTGCTTTCAATGAGTGGGTGTGCGAGTGGGCCTATTCGGCCTCCATGTAGACGCGCTTGATGTCGGCAGTTGTGCACGGGTTGCGGCACATTGGGCAGTGCTGATAGGCCTTCAGACTGGCGTAGGCGCACTCTTCGCCAAAGATATGGGCGCAAGGCAGCGAGACGACGGGATGCTCGCCGAGCTTGCTCCACTCCGAGAGACAGATCGCACAAGTCATATTGGCGTCAATGGAGCGCAGCATTGCATCCACGGTGCGCTCCATTTCGCGACGAGTATTTATCTCCTTCTCAGTGTCCCTGGTGAAGGCCTCCTGCAGCCGATTTATGGTGGCAGCATGCATCTCTAGCTTGTCGCGCAACTCCTGCACCAGCTGCTCCTTTCTGGCTAGCTGCACCTGAAGCATTACCATTTTAGCAATGGTACCGCCGCTTAGCGGACGAATGCCTTGGCCTACCTGGGCGCTAATCAGCTGACTCTGCTGAATCAATAGATCAACGCTCTTGGTTAAGCTGGGCGTGATGGTGTTAATCTGATTGATCATGGCCTCCACCCTGGCCGAGGAGGCCAGCAGCATAGCCTTTTCCATGGAGATTTTGGCCAGGCCACGCTTCAGCACCTCTACCTCTTCAGCAAAGGTAGCACGCAGAACGGCAATCTGCTCCAAAGTCTCCTGGCGCTCAGTTTCCTCTGAGCGCACGCACTTGCGCTTTGCTGGAGGCTCTGGGGCACGGTCTTGGTTCTGCTCGTTGTCCATTTTCTTTTTCTTTCTTTTCGCTTTTTCAATTACTCTACGAGCGTAAATCACGTGCAAAA